ACCGACTCGTATTTACGACGGTCGCAGCGTCCCGGGGTCACGTGATCAAAATTCACACGTTTGGCAACCGACTCGTATTTACGACGGTCGCAGCGTCCCGGGGTCACGTGATCAAAATTCAGACGCTGGGCAACCGACTCGTATTTATGACGGTCGCAGCGTCCCGGGGTCACGTGATCAAAATTCAGACGCTGGGCAACCGACTCATATTTACGACGGTCGCAGCGTCCCGGGGTCAGGTGATTAAAATTCAGATGCTCAGCAACCGACTCGTATTTATGACGGTCGCCTAACACGGGGGAAGCTGGATTCACTTAACGACTGACTTAACGGCAGGGATTCATTTAACAAAAAAGGTCATCAAATGGGGCAAAAGACACTTGACAAATGTCTTAGCGACGGAAATTTGGGGGTCCGCTGGGGTCGTAAGTTGAGGACTACCTGTATAAATGACCCCTCTTTATTTTCTAGTTTGTATTTTGTGTTCCTCACAGATGGTCCTCAAGTTACGACCGTTCCGTTTAGTGACCGAAATGACAACAGCCCTGGAAAAAAGGGACTTAAGACCTTTTGTCACCCTTAGCGACCGTCGCAGCATCCCCTCGCTCCCGTGATCCAAATTCATTCAGGATTGGCCACCGACTCACACTTACGACGGTCGCCGTGTCACGTGATCCCGTTTTGCGACCTTCTGACCGGCAAAGTCAACGGAGGAAGCCCCGATTCGCTTCACGACCGTGCGTCTCTCTTAACGACGGTTGCGACGCGCCGAAGAACCGAGGCAAGCAAGGTCGTAAAATGGGACACCTGAGGTTTCTCACTTAGTGACATAAAATTCAGGGCTCCCTTTGTCGTCGTGAATCGAGGATCAGGCTGGAAGGGGAGTTTTTCGCCGGGAAAAAAAAACCACAAGCTCAAAAAATTGTGTCGGATTGTAACAGACGACGACAACGCACACCCCCTCGTTGAAATCTCGCCCGTTGTCATGGGAACAAGCCGATATAAATATATTTCAACCCTGTGCGGTTTAAAGTGGATTTTCTTCCATTAAAAAAAAATAAAATAAAAAATACCGGCGGTCCTCGGACTTACGACGGGAATTTCGTAACCTTTCCGTCGCTACGCGAGGCAGTCGTGTTGCCACTCGTCTTTACCACCTTCTCTTGCCCGGGTTCTTAAGCCAATGATGGCCTCCGATCCGTGACCTAATCGAGCCCTAGAAGTTCAGTCGCTAAGCGAGTCGGTCGCTAAGCGAGTCAGTCACTAAGCGAGTCGTGCTCCGTTTTACTCCGTGTTGTTGTTAAGCAAATCCACTGGTCGTTAAGCGAATCCGGCTTTCCCCCATCGACTTTGCCAGTCGGGAAGGTTAGGATCCTGGGAGAGTGCAACAGGCGTAAGTACATGCCAGTTGCCAAGCGTTTTGGATCAGCTGACCCTGGCGACGCCGCGACGGTCGTTAAGCGAGGAAACCGGGCCTAAGTCGTCTTTTTCAGCCCCGTACCTTACCCCGAATGGACGTAAGTCAAGGACTGTCCCCCCCCCGGCTTGTCCATTTGAGCCGTGGCGAATTAAAATGGCGGTTACTTAGTTGACAAACTTAACCAAGTTAGTTTAAATTGAAGAGTTTCCTTCACACAACCTTAAGAGTTTGAG